TAGTATTCGTGCAGCTGGTGGCTGAGGAACTCCACCTCGGCCTGCTCGTCCACCAGCAGCTCATCGCCATCCTCCAGAGGGTCCCGAGAGGACTGGTCTGTGAAGAAGTCCTCCTCGTCAAAGTAAGGAGACGGGAAGGCGTCCAGGCCCCCAGGGAAGTGCTCAAGCAGCACCGCGTCCATGCTCTGCGCCGCCGTGGGCCCGAGGGAGGACTCTGTAGGAGTTTGAGGTTGCAGTTTTTGCCTGTCTGGCTGACCCCTCCCTGTCTCCCGGGTTCTTGAGCGAGAGGCAGTGGGAACGGCCCCTCGGCCCCCCGCCCCCGGCCTCCCTGGAGTGCCCGAGGCCCCTGCGCTCTAGCCGCACCAGCGCTGCGCTGGGGAGGGCTGTGGCCAACTTGCTGCAGCTGAGGGCCGGCACGCGAGGATTCTTATAACTACATCCACAGGCGCGTGCCAGGGACCCGCGGCGCCAGCCAATCACCGAGCCGACGGGGAGGGGGGCAGGGGGCCCGGCCGGCGGCGCGGGCCGGAAAGGCTCTCTTTGGGTTGGGAGCTCCTGAGGTGGAGAAGAGGCGGGGTCTACGTTGCCTGGGGATCTTCCTGCTCCTCCCAGCCCTCTCCTGCGGCTTGTACGGCTTGTACCTGCGGGGCGCACCACTCCAAGGCACCTGCAGCCTGCAGCGCCCGCTCCCTGCCCACTTGCGCGCTGAACAGAGATCCCCCGCTCCCCGCCCCTCTGCCCCAGGCCTGGGGTAGCAGCACAGCTACAAAAAGGCCTAAGGATGCGCGCTGACACCGACGGCCCAGGCGGCGGGAACAGGTGACCCGGCGGAACTCGCTCCTCCTCGGGGGTGGCCGCAGAAACTGCCTGCAGCCCGGGATGTCAGGGTTGGTGCATTTAGCCATCACCACATCCCGGGAGCGCCGGCCCCCAGCCGGGTTCTAACTCATCTCCGAACCTTTCCAGGACTCTTGTAAAGTTGGCTCGGTGTGTGCCAGTGGGTTTCGAAGGCAACGCTCCCAAGGCGTTCCAGACGCTGTGCGGTCTAGAGGCGCGAGCCTTCGGGTCGCCAGCACCGAAGCCCGACTCCGATGAGGTATCCGTCCCCAACGACGCCCCCTCTGGGCTGGCCTCCCCTCGCCTCCCTTACGCGGCCCGGGAAATTAACTGGCAACACAGGAGGGGTTGCTTCGCAAGGCAGCTCAGTGGGGCACGTTTCTTCGGAAAGCAAATTGATATTCTAGGGGTTCGGATCAATAAAACTTGGTACAAAAGGAGTTAATTGAATTGTCTGCTCCGGAGCTGCCCGGAGGGAGGCGGGACGTTAAAGGGCAGAGTGTAAACATAAGTTTCTCACCTTTCTGACTGGCCACCAGGACCATCCTTGATTTTTTTTTTTCCTTTTTCGACCTTTAAAAACAACAGCCGTATGCACTCTGCCCCACGACACACTTCATCACAAACTGCGATGTAACACGAATTCCTCCGTTTAAGAGTAACAAAGAAACACTTTCAAGGTCGGGGCAATTCCTGGTAAAAGCCAAGCTCAGCTTCCACCCCACAGAGTTAAGTGCAGCCGGTGGCGCGATGGCGCGGTTCTCTCAATAGCGCACTGAGGCCCCGTCTTCCCAGGTCAGCCGCTTCCTTTTCCTTTTCCAGAGCCTTGTCCCACCAGAGGCTTCTTATCTCAACTCAGCATCCTACTCATCTCAACATCCAAGTCTATGCCTCTTAAGGACTAAGATTTAAACACACGTCTTGGTTTTAGACATTGCATTGTATTCACCTGAATTCTGAGATCAAAATGTTAAGGGCAAAAGATGTGTAAGATTAGCAGATCTGAGATTACCCAGTTTGCAGCAGAGAGGAGGCAGAGTCAAGAACCCCAGACAATTTCCGCACATTCTGTCCGGTGTTAGCTTCTTAGCCCCGACCCTTCCTAGTGAGGTGATTGTTCTTAAAATGATGCAAATGTGGACAGGTTCCTTGTGCGAGACTCCCAACTGCAACATCCTGCATTTAGATTTATCTTTCTCATCTCAAAAAGAGGGAAGCTGTTGTGGGTGGAGGGTCAAAACCAGGGATGTAACCCGGTGGTGGTGGACATCCGTTCTCTTTACATTGAAAAGGCCTTCCTTTGCTTCCCTCAAATGGTTAGATTCAAGCCACGTGGAAACATGGCCTTGGGTCAACCTAATCACTTGGGGGGGGGGTGACAAATGACCAGACTTCAATGCCATATCCAAAACATGGATACCCATTCAATGAAAGACTGGATCCCAGCCTATCAAGGTTCTCTTCAAGCTCTATCTCTGGTTGATCTAGGTGGCTCTGGAGAAAGTGTGTTTGTGTCCTGGATATGTTGAGGGGCAGGGTGGCTGGGGGACATGGGAGTCAGCAAGTGTGTATATGGGTATCTTTTTACCCCGTGTGATTTTAGGTCAGATTCCAATGAAAATCATCTTACATGTGCTTGATGAGTTTGTGGAAGAGTACAGAAATGTATTTAGGCACCCAGGTGAGCTAATGGAAAATCGGCTGTGGCAGGGAGCCTTACTGTCCTATGAGGCTGAGCAGAGCTAGCATGGGCGTTCTCGGCAGCTCCTGGACTGCATGGATGATCATGGGGTAGGAGGAAAGAGAAGATAGTCACTTGTGCCAGACAGCCCTCCTCACCCTTTCCCTTCCTACCCTCACCATTTTTCCCTTAGAGCAGCGGTTCTCAACCTGTGGGTCGCGACCCCTTTGGGGGTCGAACGACCCTTTCACAGGGGTCGCCTAAGACCATCGGAAAACACATATATAATTACATATTGTTTTGTGATTCATCACTATGCTTTAATTATGTTCAATTTGTAACAATGAAAATACATCCTGCATATCAGATATTTTCATTACGATTCATAACAGTAGCAAAATTACAGTTATGAAGTAGCAACGAAAATAATTTTATGATTTGGGGGTCACCACAACATGAGGAACTGTATTAAAGGGTCGCGGCATTAGGAAGGTTGAGAACCACTGCCTTAGAGGATTGCCGGCTGGCTGCAGACTGGTCCCATTGGGAAGTGAGGGCTAGGCCTACAGTTGCTGATACTGGGGTACTAGTGTGTGCACACATGTGCACAAACATGCACACACATTCTGTCCTTAAGTAAGACAAGATTGCTCTTCAATAAAAAGAAGAAAGACTTCATCACTAATACAGGAGATTTTCTCTGGGTCACTGGCTGTAACAATGGTGTGGACAGAGGCCCTCTGCCTCTTGAAGCCACAGGTTGGGCAAGGCGATGGCTGGGCTCTCCTTGTCGTGCCAGGCTGGACACCCAAATCCCATTCCAGCCCCACCTTCTTCACTCCCCAGATCCTCTGGGCAGTGGGGGCACAGGGAGAGGGATAAGATCAAAAGGTCCCAGGTATTTCCTAGAGAGCAGGACACAGCTTAAAGTCTCTCTATGCTTTGTCTTCAGGAGAATTGTCGCTTAACCTTATAAAGAACTTTTGCCTCATTATAAAATAGCGTCATCCCCTAGGCAGTGGCAGGGGTGCTTGGTTCTTTTTAGTGCCAAATTCTGCTGAAGCCTCGAGATACTTTCAAGTCTTTTGAAAGGAACTCAGTGCTGGACCCAGTAGACTCCCACCACACCTTCAGGGCTGCTTGGAAATCTCTGGCATCTTTGAGGTGCTCAGTTCCAGGAGAGCTTCCGTAAAAGGCCACTGGGCATAGAGAAAGCCTTGCCTCGCCCCCTCTCTCTCCCTTGGCCTTTTTTGCTTTCTCTCCCTCTCTGCCTCCCTCTCTCCCATCAGTCTCAAGGACCTGAATACTTGTTCATCTGTTTTCCATTATACATTTCAAAACTCTTTCCCCAGCTTCTAGAAACAGTGACTGGAGGCTTGGATCACAGGTCCCTGGCCCCTTCCCAGGATGAATTTCGGGCAGAGCCCTCTAATGTAGAGTGCAGCATCCAGGCTCTCCTTCTTCAGCTCGCCCTGCTATGTTCCCATAGTGTTCAATGCCTGGCTGAGTTCTCCCTGCTGGAGCCTAAATGCCACTGAAACTGGGTGTCCCCAGAGTATCCCACACCCCGATTAGTGCCTACAAGCAGGTACTTGTGGATGTGATTCATGGTCTACCTCCCAACCTGAACATGAGTTCATATTAATTCCTCCTGACCCTAACTGTCCCCTTCCCCACTCATAACACAGAGGTGATGCCAGGTATCTGGTTTGTCCTCTTCCGTGTCTGCTTCCCCTTTCTTTGCTATTCTCCCTCCCTCCCTTGTTCTGTGAAATCTTTCTTCTCCTCACTTGGGTGCCCGCATCAACCCATCCTTTATCCCTTCAGCCTTAGGAAAGGATTTGAAAACTAGAATCACGTGTTAATGCTGAAAGATCTCTCCGTGACTTTCCTAAGATCACACAGGGGCTACCATCAGTCCTGAGCCATTTCAGCTCTGTGCCATTTCCACTGGCTGCTGAGAGTGGATACCAACGCTGCTTCCACTCACTCATAAAAGATGTATTTATATTAATATGCAATGTAGTTAGGACAGGCCCTTTTGTAAACTGGCCCAGATTACCAAGTACCATCTTCCTGGTCTCCAGCCCCGACTCTCCAGAGTCCTGGCTGCATCTCCTGATGTGCTGAGGAAGGAAGCACTGAATAGTGCAATTCCCAGCACAAGACAAAGTGTGCAACATTAAAGATGGGGTTATAGGACTTTCTCTGGTTCCAAAAGTCATGCTATACAGATAGATTATGGATTTTATTTACTTATTTTTTTTACTGAGAAGGCCCACTGTGATCATGTGTCATTTTATGCCATCTTGGAAGTGACTGGCCTAGAAGATGCCAACCTCCTTGACTCAGCTTCAAAGGCTTCCCTCTAACCACCTACTCTCCATTCTCCTGAGGTATTTATTTCATCACTAATTGACTTTTCAAGTCCTCAGTTGTCATGCTGATCTCTCTCTGGTCTTCTCTGTATCCCTCCTACTCTTCTTTCCACTAGTCTGAGCTCCTTCATTTGCTTTGAAGGTCTTCTATTTATTCTATCCTAAGACAGGTACAAGGAATAAGGCTAAAATTGGAAGAGATGGGAATGAGCATTTGAGAGGACTTTCAGACATGCTTATCATTCACCCTCATAATTCTGCAAGCTGAAGGGTATCTTATTTCAAC